GTGAAACTATACATAAAAATATCTGCATGAAAGCTGAGCTGAATGAGACGCAGATTCACTCTCTGCCAGCAGGTGGCGTTTAAAGCGTTTCCTTGGTTTCCGCTGCAAAAACAAAGCAGCGCTGCACTTACTTTAATATGCATTATACAGAGGCAAGATGAAAAGAACAAATACCATCTAAACTTTTCTAAAGACAGTAAGTTCCCCTCAGACATGCATTCATATAAACTCCTACACCTAAATGAATCGCGATTTGTTTAGCATCTCAACCGATTTGAATCGTCACATATTTGAATCGATTTTCAACCGGCTCGCAGTTAATTGTTACATCCCTACTCAATGGTCTTTCATAATCAAACGTTTTAAACAGCTCAACCCCATGTTGTTGCACAAGAGAAGCTATGCGTCATGTACCATGTTTATCTATACCCTGTTTTCCAGCTCAAGTATCTTGTTGACATACTTGTAGGTGAACTTTTTTAAGCTCTTAATCTTGAAGCTATGAAGTCCTTTAAGCTTCACATACTTCCCTGCGGATGGGCAGTGCAGGTTGTAGCAGTCTCTGGTTCATGTGCTTGTGTAGAGAGGAGGATGTCACTGCTCAAATGAACACATCTTATACCTCTAACCTGTGCTTTGCCTTCAATAAGAAACTCAGCATCAATTCCACACAATTCCAAAAAAAAAAAAAAAACTCCAATATGCATCTCTGCTGGGAATCTCAGTGTCATTCAACCTCTTTCTCCCAGTCTGCCCCTTTTTTTTGCTTCCATTCCCTTCCTAATGTGCTATTGGGGCATAATGGTTATTGTTGTTGTGGCTATGAAAGTTAATGAGTACAGAGGGTTGCTTGCTTTGTTTCAGCATTTGCCCTGGGACTTCACACAATCTTTGTAATGACAGTTATGCCTTATTGCAAAAACAGCAATGAGCTTCTGTCCTCTGATAAGAGGGTGCATTATGTGGGTGTTTGACTGCATGGGTTTACCCAAATATGAAAATGTTCAATAAAATGTCAATTTGTGTTATATGGCTAATTTGTGTGAGGAAAGAAATGTAAAGAATTATGAGCCCTTGGAGCTCCAACTTCCAATAGGCATTACGTAATGGGGTCTTTAAAGTGTCAATGTTTTTGTCCACTGCACATTCACCTCAAGCATTTGTTTACTTTAGACGAGAACTTCTTACTAAGTGAATCGTTTTAGGCTATTCAAACTGTTATGTGGTGAACATGTGGTGAACCTTTTAGCTTGTCTACAAGCCATTTGAGCCGTAATGAGGTTACATAATGAGAGGAAATGAGACCAGCTAGTTTATGCTTCAATGAAACAATTTCAACTACTCATCATGGGCTTCAATTATTTTGAACATTTTCGTTTTTTGCTGGATGAAAAGCGTGTACTCGTCATTGCTGGTAATGAGGGAACACATATCTCATACTTGGGAAGTGGCCACCACAGCCATGTTCTTTGCCAAGGGAACTTTTTGTTTTTCAGCGCTGTAAAGCTTTTCTCAGAAGAAAACATCTCCGGTTACTTATGTGGGAACGAGACACTGCGTCCTCTAGGGGTCGCTATGGGGAACGGTATACCCACGCCACCATGCTGAGGGGAGTGCATGCCAGAAACCATGGCGAGCACTAAGTACCAACTCTACCATATTGCCATGGGAGTTGCCCCTGGGACGTTAGACGGCTGTCAGTGACATTATTCCCTACGTGGAACAGCTAGCAGTTACTTAGCTGAGGGAGCAACACCCCTAGTTCTCAAACAAGAGGAGGCTCGACCTGCAGCATGTTCCAAAGCTGGAACAGCTAGCAGTAATTTACCTTAGTTGAGGGAGCACAAACCCAGCTCTCAGCGAGAGGGGGGGCTCCACCTACAGTGCGATTGTTAGAATCAGAAGGGTAAGTGTACTGTAAGCTAGCCAAAAAACTTCCTTAAACGCTTTGCTAGTGCTCACCATAATGAGATGAATAGAGATCGCTCTTACCACAGAAATGCACGCTTCAAACAAAACAGTCAGTGAAGACGAAGAAGAGGATGATGTGTTCTCCCGGTGCCTATTTATACTATAGTCGCACCGGTAGTGACGTCATGGCTGTTGCCGGCCAATGTGTTGTTGGTGTTTTTTCAGTGTATACTTCAGACACGGGTCACGACGAGGCGTTCCCCATAGCGACCCCTAGAGGACGCAGTTCGAAGTTCCCATGAAAGGGAACTTAACTTCTTGAATTGTCATCTCACTCCTGCTTATCAAAGTGCAAATCCCACAATCACTCTGTGAGAATCTGTGTTACAAGTTGATCTAACAAGTTAAATAATATTGTTTTTATTAAAAAAAAAAAAAAAAAAAAAAGATTTTCACTCGGAGTGTAAATAAATACATGAATAAATAGGTGTATAAACAGTATATAAACACACAGTACCAAACTTTGTCTTTTTCCCTAATTTATTTTATTTGAATAATTATTAAAGTAAATATTTATATTTAATAATTATATTCTATTTTTTATTATTACAAATTATGCTTTTATTGTTCTTCTTATTATTATTACAAATACATTCTGACCTTACTGTATGTGCACAGGACTTTTTTCCAGGTTTAAAGGAATAGTTCACCCCAAAATGAATATTTCGACATCATTTACTCACCCTCATGTCATTCCATTCCTGTATAAGTTTCTTTTTTACGTTGAACACAAAAGAAGATATTTTGAAGAATTTTGAAGAACCAAACAGTTGTTGCTCCCCATTGACTTCCATAGTAGGGAAATAAATACCAAGGGATTTTAGGAACTGTTTAATTACCTGCATTCTTCAAAATATCTTCTTTTATGTTTAACATAAGAAAGAAACTCATACAGGTTTGGAACGACATGAGGGTGAGTAAATGATAAAATTACAAAATTTACATTTTTGAGTGAACTATCCCTGTAAATTACATTTTGAATGTCAGATTTTCAGTGTGGACTGCAGTGTATATATCCTCATGACAGTTCTTTCTTTATAGGAGCGTATAATTAGATAAAGGGACTCTGATCTTGCGCTTGCTATGTGCTGGAATGAGCAGCAGCTGATAGCAGAGTGCAGCTGGTGAGATATGGCCCTTTAAAAGCAGTTCATCTGAAGAGGGGTCTGAAGTTCAGAACCCTGTCTGGATGCTTCTCACCAGACCAGGACATTGCGTAGTATTTTTGACCACTTTAAGTAAATATATACTTTGTTTTACATGTTCTAGGCATAGAAACCTCTAACTGGAAATGTTTCATGATGCAAACCCTTTCTAAAAGCATGCTTGCAGAGTTCACCTTTAGTCTTCCCAGAAAAATCACTCCTGCATAGATTTGTGTGTGGTGTACTCTTCCCACAAGTGGTCCTGATTTGAAGCGAATGGCCTCACCCTATGAAGAGGCCAAGTGTAAGCTCCTGCTGGGTAGACAGTGCCCAACCCTGGGCTGCTCCGATCCAAAAACAGCGAAACAAAAACAACCCTGCTGGCTTTCTTCCCCACCTCTGTGAAACACCTCGACAGCCGCAAATAGCCCCACACTTCATCATCGTGCTCCACGGACCACTTCTCAATCTGATTAGATTACATTTAATTCTATTAGCTAATATAGATGTTATTTTTCATTTCATGCACAGTATGTAATTATATTTTTTCCTCATTACTTTGCGGAAACAATCACCTCGGTAAAACAATTACCTAGTTTCTGTCATCATTTATAACTCTGAAGTTCAGCGACCTGTCTAACTGTCTCTTAAAATCACTGTTAGTTTTCATCGGAAAATAGTTGCGTGCTTGGGGATGTTGTGTTTTGTTTTCAGGCGTTTAAGACTCTGTTCATTAAACCCAGCTAGCCGTGATGTTTCAAAAAAAAAAAAAAAAGAAACTCTCTCTCTGCATACCGAACTATCAACAACATCAATTACACCAGGGCATCTGCAGTTCTTTCTTTGTAGTTCACCTGTATGTGAGTTTTAAGTTTAAGCCTGCAGTCGTTCGAGACAATGCGCTCTGATGAAACAAAAGGACAATGAGAAACTTGGTGTTTGTGATGTCGAAAAGTTAATCCCCACGTTAATTTATCTAGCACAGTCTGCACCGCGAGCTGTTAGGAAATATGAGGCCATGAATGTGCATGTGACTCTGTGTTCTGTTTAATTAAATGAGAACAAAATATGACCTGGGCCCTTTGGAGTTGAGCAGATTCATAGGTTTTTAGATCATATTTTTCTTATGTAACTTCTCAACTGAGATGGTGTATCAAATAATCATGCAGGCCAAGAAAAGTAACACTTTACTGTAGTTCTGTAGTCTATTTTAGCGATCTATACAGATACATGCATTGAGACAACTCTGAAAAAGATCCATTTAAATTTTTTTTTTAATAATATTTTTAATATTTTTTATTTTATATTAGATTTTTTACAATTTGTTTTCATATATTTATATATACACAGTATATATACATATATACATATACATACACACACAGTATATATATATATATACAGGTACGCGTGCGCTTCTGCATTCTTTCCTTAGACCTTCTAAACGTTAATACCATGGCCTGTGTCACTGTTTATTGACGTTCATCTTCATTTCTGAAAATGCACTCTGGCAGTGTGTTATATCACAACAGTGACAGCCAGGCAGAATGCAGCCATTACTGAGTGATGGGACATCTGTTGCCTGTTCAGTCTGATGACTGTCAGCTGTCATGATGAGTGCTGCAATTTCACGCCCATCCATTCACAATTGACATGAATTTGCGTTTACTAAGACGTCTGAACAAGCGAAAGATTTGGCATGGTGCAACGTTATGATGGGTTTTTGAATTTATTAGTGCTCAGCGTGTTGCATAAATACAGTCACCAACAGAACTCTGTTTTGTGGGCGTGGTTTATCGTGGGTGAGAAAACAAATACTGGTTACCATAACAATCATTCTTAAGATGGAAAATCAAGAAATAGTTTTTCTTCTTCAAATACCTCTATATCAATCAATCAATCAATCAATCAATCTTGAGATAGATAGATAGATAGATAGATAGATAGCTTTGTTTGAAATGCAACAAACCACACCAAAACATTTTCGAATGTTTTTCTTGCGAGAAATAACCCACTCTATTGCATTTCTCCCTTAGGAATGAAAGGGTAACTATGGTAGCAGGGGTTTGTTTTCGCATTGTCCTCCTTGTGCATTCTGTCAGATAGTCAGATGTGTGTGTTTATATGTGTTGACAGCGTCTGGGAGATTGTTGGTCAGCAGGGAGGAGGTTTATCGGTGCTGAGGACATTCAGGCTCATGCGGGTGTTGAAGCTGGTCCGCTTCATGCCGGCCCTGCAGAGGCAGCTGGTGGTCCTGATGAAGACCATGGACAATGTTGCCACCTTCTGCATGCTGCTTATGCTTTTCATATTCATTTTCAGGCAAGATGAGATATCATTTTGTGCAATTTGAGTGTACTGTTTATTCAGTCCATTTATTTTACATTTTAACTTTTTTTTTGTGGTTTTGTTTTACAGTATTCTAGGCATGCACCTGTTTGGATGTAAATTCGGCTCTGAGAGAGATGGAGACACACTTCCTGACCGCAAGAACTTTGACTCGTTGCTGTGGGCCATTGTTACAGTTTTTCAGGCAAGATTCCTACATGATACACAAGCTGCAATTTCAATCAGGCATCTTAACATCCATCTTGAGTGATCCGATCATAAGTGCACAGCACAAAATACAGATACTGTATAAACATGTTTTTTGATCCCAATTAATAACAGATGCTCAAATGAGACATGTTTCATGCAAACGTACACTAATATTCAAAAGTTTGGGGTCAGCAAGATTTTTTCTTCTTCTTCTTCTTTTAAAAAAAATTTTTTTTTTTAAGCAAGATTGCAACAATAAATTGTAAAAAAATAAAACAGTAAGACATTTACAGGTATTTGTCAACATAAGTTAACTAGATTATTTAACATGAACTAACAAACTTCTAAAGCATTTATTAATCATATATAATATTAAGTTCAGCATTTTCTAATATAATATTAAAATAAAAAATTGTATCTGTTAATCTTATTTAATGGACCTGAGCTAACATGAACTAATAATAAACAGTTGTATTTCTATTAATAACTAATGTTAACAAAGATTAATAAATGCTGTAATAAATTTATAGCTCATTGTTAATTAATATTTATGAATTAAATAATGTTAACTAATGGGACCTTATTATGAAGTGTTACCCATTTATAATGTTACAAATGATTTCTATTTGAAATAAATTCTGTTTCCTTGATGAACTTTCTATTCATCAAAAAAATCCCAAACAAAAAGTATTCCGTTTTTTACAAAAGCATTGGAATATTAGAATGATATAAGCATTTTATCAGCATGATTTATGAAACATAATATGACAGTATGTGACTGGAGCAAACTGAAATTTTGCCAGCACAAGAATAAATTAGAAAATGTAGTGTATAAACAATTATTTTGTGGTGATATTTCATAATATTACTGTTTTTACTGTAGTTTGATCAAATAAATGCAGACTTTAAAAAAAAAAAAATTTATTATTAAAAATCTTTCCGACCCCACAATTTTGAACATAAGTATCAATGGCAGTTTGATTATATTTGTTTCTTGTACATCAGATCTTGACTCAGGAGGACTGGAATAAGGTACTGTATAATGGGATGGCCTCCACCTCTCCTGTGGCTGCTCTGTACTTCATCGCTCTCATGACTTTTGGAAACTATGTCCTGTTCAACCTGTTGGTGGCTATCTTAGTGGAAGGATTCCAAACTGAGGTAAAGCCAGTCTCCAGCTTAGCCTCTACATTTTCGTCCTCTTGTTTTGTCTTCACTTCACAGTCTGTCTTTTCTTTTTTGTCCTTTAAAGTCTAGCACATATTCCAACACCATATATTTCTTCTCTCTTTCTCCACTAGCTCTCTCCTGTCCCCTTCATCTAACACTATGTCCTAAACAGGCACGGCGTGACAAAGATTCAAGTGAAAATAAATTTTTCTGTCCAGGCTGAAAGCGAAAATGCCGCTCGACGCAACAAAATCACAGCCAATCTTTTTGCGTTCTTTCTCACACTCCACTCCACAGCTGAGGAGCGTGAAACTAAAAACACGTACCTCATATTTTTTATGGTTTTCTATTTGTCGCATAAAACTAACTTATCAATCTATTCGCATCCTTTTTTGATGTTTAATATATGTCAGGAGCGATTTTGGTCCAGTGAGTTTTGTGTGGGCAAGGCTGCGTGGCACAACACAATATAGAAAAGACACTTGATGATTTTTGGAGTAGCATACTACTTCTATGGCAGAAAAGGTAAAAGTAGTATGGTATTCTGAATTTAGCAACTGTTAAGAATGTGAGAAATCATAATGCATGAAAGCACATCAATGAGGGCAAATAGAAGTTTTGCCTTTCACCTTTATGACTATTATTGGTTTATTTATGCTAAAATACACTTTATTAGGACTGTCTTTATAAAACATTAGGTACGTACCAATTTACATAGTTATGCACTCTTCTGGAGCATTTTATAGTATAAATAGTGTGTTCACACTGAATATTCCAACAATAAAGGCCTGTTTACACCAAGAACGATAACTATAAAAATAACTATAACTATACTAGTGTCCACACCACCATGTGGTTGTATTGTGTTTATTATAAGCACACACTGAAGTTATGTTATCTGCCCCTTTAAATGTCAAGCTCTTTAAAGGGATATAGTTCACCCAAAATTGAGATATTATTGATGAAATCCAAGAGCTTTTTGACCCTAGATAGCAACACAACTACCATGCCCAAGGCCCAGAAAGGTAGTAAGATCACCGTTAAAATAGTCTAAAAGAGTTTCTTGTTCTGTGTATAATAGTACCTACTCCACACTCATGAGCACTCCTTCTCATTCTCCTTCCTTCATTCTTTTTCTTTATCGCCTTCTTTTTCCATGATCTTATGAGACAACTTATCTCCCAATGCATAGCAGCCATTCTTCTCTGACAGAAAGACAGACATGCATACAAAAATGGCCAGGCTCAAGATTAATCGGAGATATAAATGTTATACCTATGTATCATTTTGGGTGGAGGGGTTGTTTTATTACGGTCTCTTTGGAAAGAGGTGAACCGAATCACGCAAGTTGGCGTGTGTATACGGTACAAAAAAAAATATTTGATTTGATTACCTCTATTTTTACAGTATGAGGTAGGATCAAGTTTTGAAATAAAAATGTCACATGCAATCTTGTTGTTTGGCCTTCTAGTGGATGTAAAATCTAAAACCTGACATCTCTAGATTTTGATCGATTGTTCAATTGAGCAAAATCATTGTTAGAATAACGAACAGATGAATCAAAAATGATCAAGTGCTGTTTCTGTAACACCTCATTAGAGCAACAAAACACGTAACTGAAAATTGGTTTGTCATTCATATTAATTTGCATAATAGGAAAGTTCTGGAGTTTTAGTATTATCTGGACGGAGCTCAGTTCTTTGCTTTTTTCCCCTCTCTAAAAGATGAGCGTGCCTCTCCTGTGCCTGCCTGCCAGACAGAAATAGCTTTCATAATGCATCATGGCAGCTTAGAGGAAATTATGTTGCTCAGAAGCCTTCTAAATAAACTCTCTAGTCTTAAATAAGAGGATAGCCCACACTCAACTGACCCCTATCTGCCGTTACCTTTGCTAAGTGCATCAGATATTATAATCTCATCCCAACTGATCTGATGCCAACGGGAATGCCAGGGTACTGTGTTCTCCCGCTCTCCCCTACAATTGACGAACACTGTTGGCTTCATATTTTAACCTTACATCGTTTTCTGCAAACATGGTGTTTATTTTTAGTTGGTCGAACTTTTCAGTGCGTCAGGGTTGCTGGGGAAACTGGTGGCTGAATGACGCAGGGAGATCAAGGGCCGGGATGAATGTCCCTTCAACAGTGTAATGTCCCGTCCACTGAAGCAAATAGCTTCATGTAATCGCACTGCTGTAAACAGGTGGTCTCGGTTGGACTAGCATGTCAGTCTGTACGTCAGCATGTTCAATGGTAGACTTTATTGGTTAAAAGCTGGATTTTTTTTACTACTGCATTTGTGTCCATCTTTGCACAGACACCTTCACAAGGCATTTACTTGATCAAATACTGTAAAAACAGTTCTATTATGAAATATTATTAAAATAACTGTTTTGTATTTTAATACATTTTAAAATGTAATTTATTTCTGTGATGGCAAAGCTGAACTTCCAGTCTTCTGTGTCACATGATTTTTCAGAACTCATTCTAAATGCTGATTTGGTGCTCAAGAAACATTTCTTGAAAACAGTTGTGCTGATTAATTTTTAATTAATTATTAATTTAATTTTAATTTATTAATTCTATTATTAATTTGTTAAAACTGTAATACTGTTTTACAGGATTCTTTATTAATAAAAGTGAATTTAAATGTTTTTACTGTCACTTTTGATCAATTTAATACATCATTGCTGAATACATGTGTTAAAAAAAATCTTACTGACCCCAAACTTTTGAACGTTGATTAATTATATTATATTATATTATATTATATTATATTATAGTATTACTTTTATTATTATTATTAAACAAGTTATAACATAATTATTTTGCATAATTTAAGACCCATATAAATATACTGAAATCCTCTGAAAAGAAAACAAAGCAGGCACAAAGGGTGACAAATTGTAGCATGACATACTCAGAACTCTCATTAGACTAAGTGTATGCCAAGAAAGGGTGGCCAAATATTATGTTCAAGTTCTTGTTACATAGGCAGTAATATTAAAATGACTTAATGTGTTGTTATTCTTGTTGAACATAATTTTCCAAGAATTTCAGAACTTAAAAATGGGTTGTGCACCAAAGAAAGTTGTAATTTGGCCCAAAGCAGAGTCGGATCTTCTTTTGTAACTCAAATAGCTCGAAGAAGTAAAAGAAAAACATTAATTTTATATGCGTAGAATGTTTTAGACAATTGCATTCATTCGCTGGATGTAATTCGCTGATTTACTCTGACAGATTCACAATGTGAAAAATTCAATACACGTTATCTCAGAGGTGCTGGAGAGAAAAACAAAAGAGTTCATCAATTTCAGAGAATAACACAGCCAAGTATTGATACCGGCAGTTGCAGAATTTTAAATACGGGCAACAACTACACAATCTCACTGTACCGAGAATGCTAACAGCCTAAACTCCACCCAAAATGCAAAATTGCTTTTACTTCAACAGAAGTGAAGTTTGGTGAAATGTGGGAGTCCAATTTCTCATAATGTGTCTTTGTAAATTCTCTAACACTTTCTGTGCTTTTTTTCCCCCTTCTATCTTACCTTTTCGCTCTGTGTGGTAAAATCCTAACACGCATCCACTTTAGGAAATAACCAAGAGGGAAGATTTGCATGGCCAGCTGAGCTGTATTCAGCTGCCTATAGACTCAGGGGTATGTAGCTCTCCGTATGATGTAACCCAGTGAGACTAACCAGGGGGACCGCTGCGTTTGTGGACAGTGTCACTTGTGATTGTTTCTTGTAGAAGCAGACTTGACTCAAAGTCTTTCTTCAGGTTCACTTGCTCAATGCCTGGCGGCAGAGTACAAACCTTGTAGAGCCTCATGCTTTATTTTATCTGGCTGAAAGGATGTGTTTGGGCTTATGGAAAGCCTCAGCGAAATCAGACAAAGCCAGACAGACTGCTGTGCAAAAGCAAATAAGGCAACTGAGAAGTCCTTTTGAATAGATCTCAAAATCGTTTAATATGTGGATACGTCTCTTAATACCTCTTTACTTTAATTAATTTGATATTGTAGAATTGCTCTGCATGGTATCATCAGTTTTTATTTAACTAGACTTAAAGTTTTATTCAAATAGCCTGAGAAAGTCCATTCAGTGAGCCAGAGCTGAGTGGAAGCACTTGACCCTGTTGAGGAGACTCGGTCTGTTTGTGGTTCTGGACATCACATCCCGTATTTGTTTTCATTCATGCAGCTGTGCTAGGTGACACATGCAGTGGAAGGCCATAAAATGGAGAGCACCAATGGGGTTTGAACTTGTCTCTTACACCTTCCAGTCCTTCACCTTGACAATCAAATTACATAAACCTCTCTGCTTGTCCTTACTCAGGGGCTATTAGCACGTCATGTCAAAACATGCCTAAAATCTCTCTATCAGCAAGGTTGGCTGAGCCCAGTAGAATTCCCAAATTAAGATCTGTGATTGTTAAGCAGCAGTTGCACAGCAACCTTAACATCTTAATTGACAGTACAGCCCCAGTAGACTTACTTTCACACCTTGTACCTGACCAAAGCAGTTCTGGCAAACAAGCTTAAAGGAGTCATTCTGAAATTTCAGACTTAAATTATTCAGTTATTCATTGAAAACCTTGTCATTAACGAGAAAAGTACAACACACTCTCATGGGAATGTGAGAATTGTAAAATTTAGAAGCAAATTTGAATGAATTCGTACTGCTTACGACCCACTGAGGATTAGGTTTAGGGATGGACATTCATGCTTCTTTTTTTCCCAAAAATTGTATAAGTTCATGAAATCACCACCAGTTCACCAAAACATAAAATAGTGATGTTTTTTTTCTCTCCATGAAATTGAGTTGGAAAAGTAGCAATGTCTGATTCACAAAAGAATCATTCTTTTAAGTCAGATCTTTTCAGTGAATTGTTTGATCCACTTTACAAAACTGATTCGAATGATTTGTTCACACGTCTGTTTGATTTGTGAACAAATCATTATTTTGAGTCAAATATTTTCAATAATTTTCAATTTGCAAAGATGGTCTGAACTGAACGATTTATTTATAAATCTGGCATGTGAACAAATCATTAATTTGAGTCAAATATTCTCAATAAATCAATTGATTCAGTTCACAAAATTGGTCTCAATTGATTTGTTAAAAAATCTGATTTGTAAAGAAATCATTATTATTTTGAATCTAATCTGTTCAATGAATCAATTGATTCAGTTCATAAAACTGGTCTGAATTATTTGTTCACACATCTGTTTGATTTGTGAACAAATTTCTTTTGAGTCAAATCTTTTCAATGATTGAATTGCTTCACTTTACAAAACTGAATGATTCTTTCATACACTAGATGGATTCAGTTCTTGAAATCTAGTTGCAACTATTAGCATCTCACTGTATACATAATGTAATATTTTATTTAATAAAATAAATTATATAAAATTTTCATTCACAAATTTTTAAAAACACGAGGGTGAACTATTGCTTTAATAAAGCTTTTAATGGTTTTAATTTGTTTTACATAGAATACAATAGCTAACAGCTCTTTGCTAGTGCTTAGGTCAAAAAGTCAGGGAGTTTGTTTAGCAAATACTATAGTTTTGTAACGTATCTGCTACATCTCTTTGTTCAGAAAGGCCATGTGGGAGTGAGAATAGTCAAGTCCATTCCAGATACATCATCCACAGTGCTCATTTCTGAGCATGCAGTGAGTAACAGTGGGTGCTGATGCTAAGCTAACCGCTAACTGCACATGGTGCCCAGCAGACGGTGGTGGCCTGTTTCTGAGGATGCTTTGTAGTGCCTCTCTGCTAGTTCAACCTATCACAGCTGTTTTGTTTTCTTGTTTTCTGTTTTTTTGCTCTTCACTGTTGGCGAGAAGGGGCAAGGAGTCCCTCTCCTGTCTTCACTTACAGAGCTCGACTCCAGTGTCATAACTCTTTCAAGTTTTGTTTTTGTTGCCTTAGTAATGTAGATATTGTGTTATTCCCTATTGACAAGTCCTGTTTTTGTTGTAGTTATAATGTGAATTAATTGCTGTTCGAGTGTGCTGTGTCTAGTGTTGCAATGATCCCACTGGTTTCAATGCGACTCAAATTTGCTTTGTTTACTTACCCATTTACACAGCCATTACTAATGCATTGATTTTTTTTTTCTTTTTTCAGAAAGTTTTGATTTAGGTTGATGTTAATTAGTGAAGCCAATGGGATGCATTGTTCGTAGGTGCAAGGTTTGTCAGAATAGTCTCTACTGTGTCCTCTTTGACCATTAGTGCTGTAAAGTACTATGGTAAATGTATGCTGAGATGAATGAGTTTGACATCCTGTAACCACATGATAAGGAAAAAGATTCATCCTTTATGATCTTGCTCATATTTGATTTAAATTACAGTCGGTCCACAAATAGACACCCTAATGGTCAAACTGAGAGAGTGATCCATGTCCTCAGACAGTGATGTCTGTTTTGACAAACCACCCAGGGTTGAAGTTCTGTGCTAGACCACACTGAAACACTCTCGGCATGAAGCCATTTTAAGACCAGCCCAAGACTGGGGATGAGGAGGATACAGGCCAAACAATGTGATGAGCCCTCTGATAAAAATAGCAGTGTTTATTTCTCCTGCCTGATCATTGGACATGCCTGCTCTACTGGTTCTGCTCCTTCAGTGAACCGAGAAAAAAAAACCCCACACATATTCACCCGCATGTGGATGTGACTTACGCTAATATAGCAGATGGTCTGACCATGAGATCATCTGCTTAAAAATACACTCAAAGATACATTTAACTAATATTTAGTACACAGTACTTGTGGTTTCAGAGTGGTCGTGCAACCTGGTATTGTCAAATGCATGCCGGCACTGTGTTTTTGTGGATTACCCCAACCAGGATGTCTCTCCCTTAGATACCAGTCACCCTCTGGCCTTTTTTGAGGGCCGGCTGGGGTGGGGGAGACCACACCCTCATCCACCTGCCTGTTCCTCACCAATATGCAATATGCTTCTTTAATCCCCAGCAACATCTAAACCTGGTCACTAATCTTTTATATCTTCCACGTTTGATAAAGGGCGATGCCTCGAAGTCGGATTCTGAAACGGATTTCTATGCACGGAGCTTGGAGGATGTTTCAGGACGTAAGAAGGATCTGTCTGCATCATCTGGTGAGCTCCACAGAACATAGTTTGCATGGAAGCACATGGGATATTCAGGGCTCAACAAAAAGGATTTTTTCCCCCCACTGGCAAGTAGATTTTTATTTGCTCTGCCAACAAATTCACTGTCCCCACCAAAGACAAATTATTTATTCATTTATGTATTTGTTTGTTTGTGAGAAAACTTTTATTTATTTGCAAGAAACATTTTAACTTATATTTTATATTTGACATATTATTACGAGTTCTTTACAACCACAATTTTTGTGGTCATTATCTTCATTATTTTTTGCTTATTTAATTATTATATTCCATATATACGGATATTGTTTTTGTAGGACACACACCTGCGATATATATATATATTTTTTATATTAAAAAGACGTGATTAAAGTGCACTCTTATCTTCTGTGCAACCCCAGATACCCTTTTACCCTTCTAACAATGGGGTTATACTTTGTATTTTTTTGTCTTTTTGACATGATGCATCACAATCCTTTTTGAAGATTAAAGCCTGCCTGAAAAATTCATGCTTGAAATGGTTCCTAATACATTTTTCAGCTGTCTGTCATGTTTTGCTGCTTCAGTTGTGATGTTGAGCATACTATCCTGTCCCTCCCTTTCTGTACTCGCAGTTGTGCCCATCAATGGCCATGTGGATTTGAAGAGCAGCCTGACCCCTCCCCTCATCACTCACACGGCTGCAACACCCATGCCCATCCCTAAGATATCAGGAGGAGGAGATCCGGCGCTAGGCTACGAGTCCCGCAGAGGCAGCAATGTCTCCATGGATCCTAATGGCCAAGACAAATCTCCAGTCAGTAACTACCTTTCTCTGTCTTGATACAGAAAGTTGTCCCAGCCTGGGTTTTTTTTTTTTTGTGCTGTATAATGCATATCAGTTTCGTTACTCTCAATTAGGTGATTAAGTGACACTTGTAGGGTCACTTAGTAATATAATATAATTAGGGCTGTCAGTTTAACGCGTTAACTTAATTAATTCGTTATGAAAAAATAACGTGCTTAAAATATTTTAATGCAGTTAACGCACTGGCCCCGCCCCCAGACCTGTACGTCATCTTTCATTTCATACAGTTGACTGTTGACAAACATGATGCAGGGCAACAACTCCATAAATGCAGTTATGCCCTAAAAGTCAAGATATTGGGGCAAAAAATGCCCCTATATGAGTTTTTGTCTCCAATTTATATCAGCGAGAGTAATATCACATGAGAGATTTTGTCCTGAATATCACAAGTTTAAATGTGATTTTATACAACAGTTATATATAAGAAGTTGATACTGTGTTATATTTTAAACACAATATTATGTGTTTTTGTTCAATTTTGCAGAGAATATATTACCTTTAAAGCCACAGCAGAACTGTTGCGTGAACAAATCGTGTGAATCAATGATTCAAAGTCCCATTCATAAAGAGAGTCGTTTACTGAATTCCTGAATGAATCAGCCGTTTGAACAAATCGAGTGAAGACATTTACCGTCACCTGCTGGCAGATTTAGTTTCTTATTTAGAGTATTATTTAATTTAAAATAATAATAATAATACAAATATTAATAATAATAACATTAAAGGGATAGTTCACCCATTTTTATTTTTAATTCTGTCATCATTTACTCAAACCTGAATGACTTTCTTTCTTTTGTGGAACATAAAATAAGGTATTTTGAAGACCGTTGGTAACACAACTGTTTTGGTTACCAATGACTTTCATTGTATGAACAAAAATACTGAGATGTTTCTCAAATTATCTTCTTTTATGTTCCATAGTTTATGTTAGGCCGTTGTAGCTTAAATGTTTGTGTAATCAATTTTATGTTGAATCAAATAAAATATTTATAAAGCTACAATTTGTAATGTCTACTTGATAGTTTCTCATTTAACACAAAAATAGCTTTAAAGAAACGGTCAGTGTTGGGGAAAGTTACTTTTAAAATTAATGCATTAGAATATTGTGTTACTCCCTAATAAGTAACTAATCAAGTTACTTAGTTACTTTTTATTGAAAGTAATGTGATGCATTAATTTTGCGTTACTTTTCTCATCTGTGCTGGGCTTGCATGTTTATTTTTAATATAAAAAAAGTTCTTTTTTTTTTGTCAAATTTAAAAGACCTTTCGTTCCCTCAGACTGATTGCTGCTGTGCTGCCAATCTGGATTGCGTGAAGAATAGGATGCAGGAGAAGAAAGCTCATCACTCTTCAGCAATAAAAAATGAAACAAATGTTATGTTTATCTAAAGTAATTTTTGCTTAGTACGGTTGAATTGGATCATTGAAGTTCAACAGCAAAGACATTGGATAATAAAATGGGATTAAATACATAAAGGATATTTGTGCTAATTAACATTTAATTATTGCAGGTTTGCGTCATATTCTGAGTTTGCATTTCACAGTCTTTATTTATTTTGAGGAATGCTGAATCTGTTTTTTTGTAAGTGAGATGAGTAAATGCATGTTCACATTTAGTCTAAAACTACAGTAACATCATGTGTACACAGCGCACACAACGCCTCTGCACTTACTCCCGATTTCTTTCAACGGAGGAGCTGTCAGTCAATAAATGGGAAAATAAAGTAACTGGCATTACTTATTTGAAAAAAGTAACTCAGATATTTTCTTGTAAATTAAAAAGTAATGCATACTGTGCTAGTTACATGAGAAAAAAATAATCAGATTACGTAACGCGTGTTACTTGTAATGCGTTACCCCAACACTATATAATATAATATAATATAATATAATATAATATAATGTAATGTAATATAAATTGTAGAATTCAGAATATAAAATATATGTTTTTACAATTATAATATGTTAAATATATAAATAATGAGTACATGTGGTGCAGTTGGCTTCAATTTGTTTTGTTCTATATTTCTGTGATTTTGACAAAAACGTTGGCACCAAGGTTTTACAGTTTGCCAATGAGATCTTATTTGAGAGTAACATATTCCACCCGTCTCTCTGCAGTCGAGTGCACGGAGTTCCCCAAATGCCCCCTGGAGTTCAGCCAGTAGCTGGAACAGCAGGCGCTCCAGCTGGAATAGCCTGGGCCGAGCCCCCAGCCTCAAGAGGCAGAAACGCCAGTCTGGCGAACACCGCTCCTTACTTTCTGGTGATGGCCAGTCCAGCTCCGATGAGGGAGATGCGGGAGAGAGTGGGGGCGGAGGTGTCTTGTCTGAGGGCGATGATGCCTCCCTCGCCAGGACGGACTCCCTGGGCCAGAGGCCTCGGCACAGGCGCATGGAGTCCCTGGAGACACGTAGCTCGTTTGATCTGCCTCCAGACACCCTGCAGGTACCATACATGCATCGTTCCGCCAGCATACACAGCGCCCGGCCGCCCAATTTCCTCAGCAACGGCAAGAGTTCTCCATCTGCAGCCACGACGCAGCTTTCTCTAGATGAACTCCACAGCGAGGATGACAATGCAGATGATGAAGGAAACCTGGTGAGAAAAGCTACACTTGATTTATTACAGTTATTTTCAGTTTCTTACAATAGATTAATCACAAACATCTACAGCTTTTTTTCTATTCAGTTCACTGTTATAAGATCACAGGAAACAGGACTTCTATATCTTCTGCTGCCAACAAAACTAACTTACTGGTCCTATAATCTCATGTGGTCATCCGTCTTTTAGAGTCGGAAGGCTCGTCTCTACCGCTGGCTGGAGCACAAGCAGCCCCAGTGGTGTCGGGAGAGGGTCACCTGGTCTCTTTATCTGTTCCCCCCACAATCACGGTAAGTTTCTGTTGCTTTCTTGGCCCTCACAGTCATTCCTTCTGAAAAGACCATTTTATATATCTTATATATTGAGGAGGGCTCACCATAAATGTGTTATATTGTATTTTTCACCAATAGGATTAGTTGTCTTATGTTAGTAGATCATCAGTTTCTGTAATATTATGCACCAACAACCATACCCAAAACAGGCTCATAAAAAATGTGTCTCTACATTTCTGCCACACCGTAATTACGAACCTTACTGGACGTTTTGCAGCAGTTTCAAAGTGAAATGTCCAGAAAGTAGCGCTAAAACACACGTTCAATATGTGACCATGGCACGTTTTTATTGTTGGTACAGGCACGTATTGCTGCGTTTTTATTACGCTGCTTCGTATATCTGGGGAGTGTCGCTAAAAGTTAATGCTCTATCGTGTTGAAAATATCCCCTACATCAAACCCAACCCTGAACCTACCCGATAGTGTTAACAAATGCAAAAGTGATATAAAAACGCATTTGTTGATTTAGCCATGCTATTTTATGCTATTTTTTTCATGCTTTGTATTGTGTGAGCTACCAAGCAAACCTACTGGATTAGAAAACTCATGCAAATGAAGCTGTATATGTGACGACAATGTCCAAAGTATCAGTTTTCATATTGTGCAGGATGTTAAAATTGTCATATTATGCAAGTAACTGTGTGAAAATTAGGCTTTATTAATCAAAACACTGTACCTGTAAATCCTACTTTTTGTGAAAAGGAATAAAAGTAAGAGTAAGAGTTTTACTGCCTCTAGTGTTCATTTCAGCTGGAAACTGCAGTGATGTACATATAGGTATGTTTTTTTTTCTTTTCAGTTTTGCAAAAATGTATATAGAGGCACATATTTCCAATGAGCCTAGGTAGACCATACCACATTCAAAGTCACTTAAATATCTTTCTTCCCCATTCTGATGCTCGGTTTGAACTTCAGCAGATCGTCTTGACCATGCTTACATGCCTGAATGCATTGAGTTGCTGCCATATGATTTGCTGATCTGATATTTGCATAAACGAACAGTTGAACAGGTATACAGATAACGTGGCTACCTAATGGCAGTCTATAGCTGTGTTCGAAATCGCCCCATATACCCTCATTCACTGTTCCCTACATTAGTCCACTAATATAGTCCAGTTGAACGAGTGAATGAAAACGAGTGAGCTAATGTGGACTCTGAGCTCTCACTTTTACATAGTTTGTACTTTAAATAATTAAGTATCTGTTTAATAATTATCTAAAAAGTATCCGTTAAATAATTATTTAAAACTTAGCAAACTGGCAGCTCCTGTAGGAATGGAAATATTTATCTTGAACTCTGTCATGGCATCTAGTGTGTATAAAACGTAATTAAACTATTTAATAATCAATTAAAAAGAAATTGATACCTGTATAATATTACACTGTACCCACATTGTACCAGGGGTTTGGAAAACTGGATGGACGATTCTTCTGCAGGCACCATCTTCTGGCGAGACGTGTGAATTATTTCGGCACGACCCTCATAGTGAATTATGGGTATTCTCTAGCCGTTGGGTGTACACTCATTATTGCAGTGCATGATGGGATTAAATAAGTGCACTCTAACATCCACTATAGTGTTGGACATCACGGCTGTCCCCTCAAACAGTGCCCTATTTAAGGGTATAGGGGGTGGTTTTGGACACAGCCAATGAGAAGTCCTCACCTGCAGTATAAATCTTTCTGGTTAAACTTCTTAAGAATTCTGCTGGGGACACAAGCTGTCCAGCATCCAAATCACAACATATGCTGGCCATTTCAGCAGGTGAGTCACATTTATCATAGTACTGCGGCTCACATTCAGTACGGCAGTTTAGGTTGCCCCTAAGCCTTAGAAAACACCTTCATGAAGATGCTTAAGGAGTGAGAAATCTCCTGTACTTTTTAGCCTTTCCCTTAGGCATCTTCTTGGTCTTCCCCTTCCTCTCATCTCTTTCCAGTGCTTTCCATTTTTGAAATGCATGTCTGCTCACATTAAGCTCCATGGAGGCTTCACTTATTAGAGGGAGAGGAGAGGAAAGAAGAACTCAGCATTGCATGTTACACTCTGTCAGCGCTTTACTAATTAAACATCAAACAACCTCAGATCATCCTCCTCCTCCTTCCTGTGCGAGCCCTGGATGATGCAAGCGCTCACCACTTTGCTCTGTTATGACATGCAGACTGGCATACATTGGTGTCACCAAAACCAAAGCAAAAAGGCTTTTGAATTTAGTATGTCCATCTTGCGTGTTCACTATCAGATCTACCATGTCACATTGGCACAATCAAGGAGGTTTAATTATGTAAGATTGAGCATTACGTGTTTGGATTGGTCTGTAAATGTATTTTTTTTTCATGAATATACTTTCATGAATATACATACTATATGTATGTATATATTACTGTTCAAAAGTTTGGGATTGGCAAGATTATTTTATGTTTTTGAAAGTCTCTTATGCTTAAAGGGATAGTTCACACTCACCGGCGCATGCGCAGCGCTGAACTCATACGTCATCCGCCCGGAGCTGCTTCCAAGTAGGACTGTGGGCGCAAGCTACATTAAAGTGATTATTACGTTTTGAATATGGATATTTTTCTGACAAAAACACATCGATTCGCTACAGAAGGCCTTTGTTCACCCGCTCACCCGGAGCCATGTGAGACATTTTTTTTTATGGATGGGCGCTTTTTATTTAACAACTTTTGGACTGATGCATGCAACACCCACTGAGTGGCATTAAACAGCTTGAAAGATCAAAGACAATTTTTTAAATAACTCCGACTGGATTAGTCTGAAAGAAGAAAGTCATATACACCTAGGATGACTTGAGGATCAGTAATTTATGGGCTAATTTTCATTTTTGGGTGAACTAACCCTTTAACATTCTCCAGTTATTTGATCAAATCTGCAATTATTTGATCAAAAACACAGCAAAAATAATATTATTGTAAAATATAATTAAAATTGTGGGGAAACTATTTTAATATACATTACTGGGAAACAGTTTTGAATTATTAATATTTTGATGTTAATTATTTAAAAAAATTTTAATATTATAAAATATTATCTTCAGTGTCACATGATCCTTCAAAAATCATTCTAATTTGCTGATTTGGTGCTTAATTATTATTGGTACACAGTTATTAATAAAAGTTTTATTATCAATGTTGATTTCTTTCTTTATCTTTTTTAATTCAATTTTCTTTTTTACAAAAAAATAATCAGCAGAAAAAAAACTGTTTACAGCATTAATAATAATAAATGTTTCTTGAGCACAAAAACAGCATATTCTAATAATTTCTGAAGGATCATGTGACACTGAAGACTGGAGTAATGGCTGCTGAAAATTCAGCTTTTCCATCACAGAAAAATGTTTTAAAATAAATTAAAATAAAAACAGTTCGCTAATAATATTCTAAATATATTTTACAGTGTAACTATTTTTACTGTATTTTAATCAAATAAATGCAGCCTTGGTGAGAATTTTTTAACATTTTAAAATTTTAATAATCCCAAACTTTTGACCAATAGTGTATTTTGAAATGTAATTTATTCCTGTGATTTTTAAATGTTTCAACTGTTTTATTTATTTCCACTTTTAAATTCATATCTACTCAGAAATAAGCATTGCATGAGCAATGAATATTTGTTTTAAATATATGGTTATATCTAAAGTCCATTTGAGTTCGTTGTAGATCATTAGATGTGACATTATGTACTTTTGGAAGCCTGTGAAACCTTGTGTGAAGTTGTCTTAACAATAACGGCTGTGAAGTCATTGACTAACTGGGTAGTGAGGCAGTATGGCAGCAGCCTTAGGTATCGGACACAGCATTAGACTTCTCTCCCCATTTCACCCCGGCATGACCACACTCCCAGCATGAGCGATCGGGGCTGAGAGAGGCAGGTTGGCATGACAACGGCGCAGAGTTTGCCGTCTGTTCCCACACAGTGCCGTTCAGAGCATAAATTCTTTAACATCAGGCCAAGACTCCGAGACATTAAAGAGAACTGAGCACTATTTATTCATAAAAGGAGTCATGCCGTCATGCAGTATGTCTTATGGCAGACACACGTTCATGCATATGTTTGTCACAAGTTCAACTGAAGTGAAATAGAGGAAAAATTGGGCATATGTAGTTCTCTTGTTATGAATGAACCCGAAGTAATGCCTGTCATGATTGTTAACATCTCATACCTGTTATTATTGTTATTATTTTTTATCATTATTATACATAGAATGGGACTCAAAATGCTGTTTTTGTTTCCGAAATGATAAATGGATGTTACTTGCATTCTGGACGATCCTCTGCAGTGAATGGGTGCTGTCAGAATGAGAGTCCAAACAGCTGTTAAAAACTTCACAATAATCCACAAGTTATCCACATGACTGCAGTCCATCAGTTAACATTGTGGAAGTGAAAAGCTGCATGTTTGTTATAAATAAATCCATCCTTAAGGTGTTTAACTTTAAACTGTCGCTTCTGGGCACAATGAAAGCATCTTAATGATGGATTTGTTTATTACATTTGTTTATTGTTTATTACAAACAGTTTTTCATAGAAGACAGTCAGTCATACAGAGTTCAAATGATATGAGGGTGAATAAATGATGAAAGTCGTTTCATTTTGGGGACACTATTCCATTAAAGGGGTGGTTGATTGCGATTTCACTTTTTTAATGTTAGTGTGTAATGTTGCTGTTTGAGCATAAACAATATCTGCAAAGTTTCGAAACTGAAAGTTCAATGCAAACGGAGATATCGGCTTTTAAAATTCTGGCAGTTTAATGCCTACAAAAACGGCTGGTAGGGACTACAAGAAGTTACTTCCCGGGTTTGTGACGTAACAAACCCAGATAAACCCCACCCTCGGGAAAAGGCAGCAAAGGGGGTGAGGCCATGCTGCGCTGCTTTAGAGAAGAGGAAGAGAACTAGAGGTGCACGTAAAAATCTGTTCATATATGAATCTGTCTTCTGTCTTCTTATGATTCTAATGGATTCACAAAGAAGGGACAGGAATAAAGGAAAATTATGTGAAAAATATATATATATATTTTTTAAACGAAGCAATAACACGTTAGACTGCACCCCATAAACACAATCAAGCCTAGAAAAAAAAACAGTGAACCACCCCTTTAAGAAAAGCTCTACTACTGTAGTCTCACAGAAACTAGTCAAACTTTGTGACCTATTTTTAGTGGAAATCAGTTTCTTATTTATTAATTTTATGATCAACATGATGTTGAATGTTTGCATCACTCAGCCCACCATGTCTGGTGTGATTATGTCTTGCAGGTTTCGTGTGACCTGCAATAAAATCATCACTCACAAGATGTTTGACCATGTGGTTCTTGTCATCATCTTTCTCAACTGCATCACTATTGCCATGGAGAGGCCCAGAATCGACCCCTCCAGCGCTGTGAGTAATGTTACCTCATGCACATTCACACATGCAAGCATGCCATTCAAAGCAACTTTTGCTGTAGGAATAATAGGTCAGACAATTGAAACACTTCTCTGACATGGTTGTTTTCTTATTTTTAATTAAAAAAAGTTCACTTTTGGCAACATTTTTATACAGTTTTTGCAGGATAAGGACTTGAACTTACCGCAAGAAAAAAATATCGTCTTATATTCGGGACAATACGGTATTTAAATAATTCTGATAGCAATCATGTGACAGTTGAAAAAAAAAGTTACTAGGTTAGATTTTCTTTATGAGGTCCCATGCTCCCTCTTGTCCTTTGGTCTCAAGGGTATATAGCTTTGCTTTATTTTATTTTATTTTATTTTAGTTTAGTTTAGTTTAGTTTAGTTTAGTGCTGTCAAA